TCTCTCTCTCTCTCTCTGTCTCTCATGAATAAATAAATAAAATCATTTAAAAAAAAGAATTAGGTTTCTCTGTTTTAAAGCTTGATGTCCTTCTACAGTGACAATTTAACAATTGACAAAATGTTGTATAATTTGAGTCAGTTTACACAATGACTGTATGAAGATAGTGATATTCTCTATCCTTTTCCACACCTTGATGCTAAACTTCTTTTTTAAAAAGTTTCCTACCTCATTGTACCCCCCCCCCCAAAAACCACTCTAATTGCTAGGTCCAAGAGATATATTTTCTGCCCTTTCACAACTTGCTATGGTATTTATTTGTCGATGTCTTTGTTCCATGCATTCTGTGATGACACTTTCTCTTTGTGCTCCTTTTCCCATCCTGGCCCTACCTCAGTCGAACTTGCAAAGTCTCTTCCTGCCTTTTAAGAGCTGTTAGGGGGTCTGTTCTATTCACTTGTCTAAAATGCATACTTTTTTTTTAATGATATTATTCACATCCATAGCTGGAGAAGTAACCAGAAGCCAGGTAATAAAAAGCTTTGTATACAACGGTGAGAAATATTTGCTTTATTCCAGAGGCCAAAGGAAGCCATTGACAGATTTTTAGGAATGAAAGTAGTGATGTTGCTGATAGAGATAGAGATTACAGAAGAAGGAGAAATACTGGAGACAGGTTTTCAGATCATGGGCCTGGGTTGTCTATGAGAAAACTAGGCTGTGATAGCCACAAAAAGGAAGTAAAAGAGTGGATCTGAGGCTGGGCAGAGAGATTTTGACTAGAGCTGAAGAATCATGCCTCTAACTCACCAGTGAGGGCTCTAATTGACCTCTGCAACTGTTGTATGAGCTTAGAATTTGATAGTTAGCATACAAGAAATGTGTTTTAGTTAGCTTCAAGATCCTTAAATAAGTTTGGGAACAAAAAGGGAAAGAATATCACTAAGACCAAAAGGAAATATTAAAATATCATCTGCCTTGAGCTGTTTTTTTGTTTTGTTTTTGTTTTTTTCTGAATCTAATCGGAGCAAGACTTCTGGCTTTGGGGTGCCAACTCTGCCTCTTTCTAGCAGGGTGACCTCGGACAAGGTATTTAAATAAAGTGATGGTAATAATGGTCCTTAGAGCCTTGAATCATGAGGCTTGAATAAGAACACGCACGTAATACCTGACAGAAAAAACCTCAAAGAGGGCTAGCATTTTAAAAACTATTTTTTTACAACCTAATTGTAATTTTTACAACCTAATTTGTAATTTTTACAACCTAATTTTTTTAATTGAGTCATTCACTCACAATTCTAGGTGACTTCATGATTTTCACAGGTGCCAATATTAGAGTTATAGAATAAAATGTTTAGAAGGGGCTATTAAATGAGAACGTTTGTCTAGGCCACTAGTAAGAGAAAAATTAACCCAACTCATCCTGGCTCTGTCACTACATGTGAATGCAATTATCTAAAACATAAGGACTTTGAACTAGATGAATACCCCAGTGTCTTTAAGCTCAAAAATTACTCAAGCAATATCAGCAGTGATTTTATTCCTAACTACTACATGTGTGGCCCTGAGGATCTATAAAGATTATAGCCTGGAGAAAGTAACCTGTTTTCTGGGCACATCATTCCCCTGCAACCCAAGATAGTCAATGATAATTATATACCTAGTGCATATGTGTGATGGGGATGAGGAAGGGGGCAGGAAAGAGACCCCTCCCTTCGGCCTCCTGCCATGGGCTAAGTCCTGGGTTTTCACTTCATTTCCTGAACAACACTATGAGAACTGGTGTTACTGCTCCATTGTAGAAAAAAGGCCATTTAAACAGTGGGTTGAAATAAAACAGAATCCAGTTGTTATAGTCCTTGCTCTTTGCAATTTAGAGTCTGGACTAATAGTATAAAAAAAAAAAAGGTTTAATTTTTCTTTTCTTTTTTAGGTAAACTATACCCTCAACATGGGCTCGGACTCATGACCCCAAGATCAGAGTCTCATGCCCCACCGACTAAGCCAGCCAGGCACCCCTAAAAAGAATTTTTAACTCAATACACACACGTACACATGTACGCATGTGCACACCCACATGCACACACTGCAGAGACATAGGCTTGAGTGTTCCATGTGGGCTAACTCCTCACAGCATTGACATTGGTTGCCCGTCAACGTTTAGTCTTAACAGTCTTCTGCAAGTTGGGAGTGTTGGCAGCTCATATGCTTTTACATTACCAAGGTGCTGTGGGGAACAATTAAATGTCTGGAGCCTGCTAAGGATTATTAAGTGCTAGCAATTCCCCTCTCAGGTAATAGCTTTTGAGCCATAAAGGGACAGTTAAATAAGCACTTCCATTTTAATATCATTTTCAATAGATAAAAAGGAGTCTAAAATTCTATAATGTCTAAATTTGGTACTGCTGTTTGGGAGGTGAAGAAACTTTAGAGTCATGTGCCTTTTAAAAGGGGATAATTGCCTGCTTCTCAGCTTCTTCAGATAGAATTTTTATTGAAGTAAATTGTAGAAGCTCCACAATGAAGGAGACTCTCTTCCCGCTGGATTATGTTCTCTTGCAAACGAAGTCTGTGACCCATGCAGCCAGGCTCTAGTGACAGTGGCTTCTAACTGGCTCGGCTAATTTTTATCCAGTTATTTTTCAAGACTGAATTGTGGAGCAGTTAGTCCCATCACAGTCAGACCTGAAGGACCTCAGCTCTTCAGTTGGCTGCCTCTTTGCTCTCCTTGATCCAAAACCTCACCTTCCTGGCTCCCTCTTTCCTCTCAGCTCTGGAGCATGTTCTCTTCTCTCCCATCTTAAAAAAAAAAAAAAAAAAAAAAACTGAAATCCAAAGCCCCTTGGTCCCTGAGTCTCCATAGAACTGTCTTCCCCTTCTTTTAAGGTCAACTTGTAGCTTGAACTCTTTTTTTCTTTTTAAACTTCCTTACTTCCCTCTCACTTTAAACGTGAGATCATGTTTCTGCCATCTTCTCCCCTTTCTCTTCCACTAAACTCCCCTGGAAGTGTTTTCACTGTTGTCAGATGGGCTGTTAGTTACTGCATCCTATGTACACTTCATTGTCTACCTTGACTTTCTTGTGGCCTTTGATGCTCTGACCGCTTCTTCCTAGAACTTCTACAATTATCTCCCCCGGTTTTCCCTCCTATTATCTTGTCATTCCTTCTCAGGTTCCATCAAGGTCCTCAAATGGTGAGGTTACCCAGGGTTCTCAGGGCAGAACTCTCTATGTGCACTCTGGAATGTGATCCCAACCATCCCCCAAGACTTCTGCTTCCACCATTAACTTTCCCCGTTAGACCCCCCAGATGTCTGGTCCTGGCTGTCCTCTGGACTCAGACTTCTGAAGCCTACTTAACATCTCTTCTTGGATATTTCCCAGGCATCAAAACTCATCCTGTCTCAAGCATCTGCTCCCATGACAACCCGCTCTTTTTCCAATGCTCTCATCTCAATAACTTTGGGCTTCACAATCTGTTAAACCTAGAAACCTATGTATCATCCTTGACAGCTAAACACATCATAGTATAAGGGTGAAGAGAAAGATTCCAGAGGCAGACTGCTTGAGTTTCTCAGCTCTCTCATTTGTTAGCTGTGTTATTGTGTGCCCCTCTGGAGATAAAAGCAGTATTTATTGTCATCACAGTGTTGTTATCCTCATTAAATAATAATAATAACTTCTGTAGAGGCACCTGGGTGACTCAGTGGTTGAGCGCTTGCCTTTGGCTCAGGTTGTGGTACTGGGATCCTGGGATCACATCCCACATCAGGCTCCCCACAGGGAGCCTGCTTCTCCCTCTGCCTGTGTCTCTGCCTCTCTCTCTGTGTCTCTCATGAATAAATAAATAAAATCTTAAAAAAAAAAAAACCTTCTGTAGAGCACCTCACTGTTTGTTTACTCCTTCTCCTGTTTTAATCATTATTCTACATAGATCGTAACACCCCCTTCTGTTTAAAGGCATCTAATATCTTCCATCACCCTCCAGGCCCAAATTCCTCATTTTGCCCATCAGAACCCTACATGCTTAGCCTGGGCCCCACCTCCATGGCCCAGTCTCTGGCAGAAAATTCCTTGTATTTTCTTGTCTGGGGCTTTTTTGCATGCTCTTCCTTCTGCCTTGAAGCCTTCTTTCCCTCAATTTCCGACCACTTTTGCCTGAACAGCTACTACTCATTCTGCAAGTTTCAGCCTGAATATCACTCCCTAGGAAGTCCAATCTTTGCTTTGGTTCCGAGCTCGGAATCCCCACACCATCTTACAATTTGCCTAGCATCGGTGCTTCATTACATTATATTGTAATGGATTCTTTGTCCAGTTTCTCCCTCAAACTACATTCTCTGTGAAGTAAGGGATTGTTTCTTTTACTTTTCAGCCTCATTGCTTGGACTATCCTGGGTGCAACATAATCACATAAAATACGGACCTATGGACTCTTGGGGACCTGGGCGGGGAAACTGCTAGGAAGTTCACTACTTGGGCTCATAGCAGGAAAAGAATACAGAATATTTTATTTTTTTAATAAATTAAATAGTAAATATTTTAATATTAAATTTAATAAATATTTATTTTAAAATATTTTAAATGTTGAATCAATGATGAGCTTTATTACAGGTTTAAAAAGTCAGTTTTGAAGATTGCATGAAATGCTCCAGCTCTGTTTCTCAACTTTTGAAGTCCATAGTCCATTCTGAGAAACCACACAACTTCATACTCATCACCCTACGGCATTTGACAGTTACAATGTAGGGGTCATTTTCTGCCTATCCCACCAGCCAAGGTTGCAGTTATTACAACATTGATTTTCAAACTATGATGTCCCCAGAGAGACATTTTACTCCATTCACATCTCTCAAATCCCAGAGTTTAAAAGAAGACTCATATATTTCCTTAATGAAAGAGTGTATGTGCCTGAACTATACATATTTTTTTCACTTGTGGTATGCTTCTTATTCTCATACAGTTGATTTCCTAATGATTGAGACTTCTTCTAAATCAGGTGCAGTTACATGATAGACAATGTGATTCTACTGATGAATGGTGCCTTGCAAAAAAAATCGGTGAAAGAAATTCTGGTCAAGTGCCACCCATTGGGCCGTTTCACAGAAATGGAAGCTGTCAACATTGCGGAGACACCTTCTGATCTCTTTAATGCTGTTCTGGTTGAAACACCATTAGGTATGAAAGCGTAAGCAATCATATAGCTCCCTGTGCGTGTTATCATAGTCATCAGAAAATGTACATTTAATTCATAGTTTTCCCCATGGTTACAACATCATACTATACAGATTTCTAGGTGCAGAAGACACATTAAGAAATCTAGTCCAGCTCCCTCATTTTTCAGATGACAACAAATGAAAGTAAACTTCCCAGAGTCACATAAGAACCATTTGTAGCCATGTAGGAGCTGGAGCTCATCTCTCAACCTCCAAACCTTTGTACATTGTACAGATCATAGTAAATAAATGATAGAACTTGTAATTTTTCAAAAAATTAATTTTCTAACTCAGTTTTATATGATTAATTTCTTATCCTTTTGTTGGACAAAAGGATATGGACAGCATTTTGGTTTAGGAAGGGTAGGAATGCCATTTTTCTGAGACGCTCAGGGGTGCCTGTCAAATGACTTGGAGCAATGATGAAATAAATGCTAATTCCATAATAATTTAGCACTGATAATAGCTCTAGCATTCAAAATGCTAATGGGATAATTTTATACACATATTGTCAGGAAACCTGGATAGTAGCAATTCATAGCAATTCGCAGTTGATCATATGTCAAAATAGTTGCTGTTGAAAGCAGAAATTTTAAAAAGAAAAAACAAATTGTGTCATCATTAAATGTGTGATGCTAAGGGAGCATGGTAGGAAGAGGGTAAGTTTATAATCATGGATGTTTGATTCCAGGCTCAGCCTGGTGACTTGGGCCAGTGCAGTTCCCCTCAATTTCCTCATTTGAAAAATAATGGCATCTTAGTATAACAGAGCTTTGAAAACTAAATAAGACACAGTTTGAGTACAACTCAATGCTTAGCACATAGTCGGGTTGCAAATGACAATTACTACAATTAGATGAGGGGTAGAGGGTCTTCAATAAGGAAGCCATAAAGTGAACAGTTCCAAGGTGTTGTGAGGATCAAGTAAGTTGAAATATAAGCAATGTTTAGTGAACAGCTTGCACACAGTAAATGCTTAATAAATAATCACTCTTTCTGTCATTATCCAGTCTGTGGATTGCCACTCTAATGTTCTAGTCAGGAGTGAGCACAGGGTGAAATGTTCAGGAAATCTTTTCTACAGTTTATAATCATGCTTTTCATTTATTTATTTTATGTGATAATTTCTGCTTTCAGCTCCATTCTTTCAAGACTGTATGTCTGAAAATACCCTTAATGAACTGAATATTGAATTACTGCGCAATAAATTGTACAAGGTAAGTATTTCCCAAACTATTATGTTTTTTTTCTTTATTACATAATACATCTTAACCAGAGTCCTTTGTTAAAAGTTACTTTGGGGACACCTGGGCGGCTCAGTGGTTGAGGCTTTGGTTCAGGTCATGATCCTGGGGTCCTAGGATCAAGTCCTACATCAAGCTCCTCTCAGGGAGTTTGCTTCTCCCTCTGCCTATGTCTCTGCCTCTCTATCTCTGTGTCTCTCATGAATAAATAAGTAAAATCTTTTAAAAAATAAAAATTAAAAAAAAGTTACTTTGCCCATTAGCCAACTCCTACAATTATGAAGGTTGGCATACTTGGAATACAGCTTTTACAGTTCTAGTCTTCTAGTTCAATACATATGCGTCCACTTCCCCTGAAGCAGCAAAATCCTTAAGAGGAAGTTACATTCCTCATTCTTCTCTGCTTTCTAGCTCCTTGCCTTGGTGTGCCTGGGACAAAAAAGGTTGCAACTGGATAGATGGATGGTGGGTGGACAGATGAATAAGGTGAACCATATCCATTTTTAAAACACTGCCTGGCTGGTTCAGTCAGTAGAGCATGGAACTCTTGATCTCGGGGTTGTAATTTCGAGAACTGTGTTGGGTATAGAGATTACTTAAAAACAAGATCTTAAAAAAAAATTTTAAAATAAAAACCAACCAGTATACATAGTGATCCTTGTGTTACGTAGTATGTATCCCTGTCCTTAAATTTCACCTTGCATAACCTGGCCAGCTATCTGTACTATGCTACCACCATTTGAGTAGTTCTGTATCCTGGGGGCTGAGCAAAATCTGCCCATTTTCACTCATACAACCATAACATCTTTGATACTCTCACTGAGTAACTGAAGGAGTACATACGGTATACTGTATATATGGAGAATATAGTGTCATGCCATATGTGTATATATATATGTTTATGCTAAACGTATGGTCCTTCCAAGAGCACTGTGTTGCAGGCAATTTTCCTTTTTATAAAGAGATGTATGGACTTAGAGGAGGCATCCTTGAGGTATAGCTAACAGAAGGCACCTTTCTAAGCAAATTATAGGCATTAGTTCGCTTAATCCAGCCAGCAAAACTATGTGCTATCCTCATTTCTCAGATGAGAAGTCACTTAGCTAGTAAGTAATTGAGTTGACATTCAAACACAATCATTCCAATTGTTCAGCCCAAGCTCTGCCTTCCCAGTATGTCCTCTGCATTCAAAGCCATCCCAAAAATGTCTCCGGGGCACCAAGAGAAATTAAATGTCAGCACAGGAACAAATCTAGAATTATTTGTTGAGTTCATGAAAGAGTTTGGCACTTTTATTAGAATATCAAAAATTTATCATGTGAAATAAACACAAGAACCATGCAAAGAGTGCTTGCAAAAAGTGCTTGCTTGTTAAGGAATCATAAGGTATGATAAGTACAATCTTGTTCTTTTTTAAACCTGTGCAACATGCTTCAATGCAAAAGTTTGTATCAAATTTTTAATAAAATATTGCCCTACAGGACAAGTAATTCAACCTCCATTAAAGTATTTAATAAGGCATGAAGAGCTGATCTAGAAATTTCCAAAGGAAAATATCTTCATTTTATAGTTTTATGATCTTTCTTCTTTTTAAGTCTTACCTCGAGGCATTCTATAAATTTTGTAAGAATCATGGTGATGTCACTGCAGAAATCATGTGTCCCATTCTTGAGGTAAGAAAGTCTTTCAATTTCTTTATGTCAAATAACGTGCTTACATACTTCTCATTTATATAATCCTACTTTTATTTCTTTAAGTTAGAAGCTCATTTATCTAGGAGCTGGGTGCCTGGGTGGTTCAGTGGTTTAAGTGTCTGCCTTTGTCTCAGGTCATGATCCTGGGGTCCTGGAATCAAGCCCTGAGTCAGGCTCCATTTCCTTCTCCCCTTCTTCCCTGCTCATGCTCTCTGTCTCTCTCACACAAATAAATAAAATATTTATTTTATATTATTTATTATAATATAATTTATTTTATATTATATTATATTATTATATTATATTATTTATATATTTTTTATATTTATTATAAATAATATAATTATTTATATTTTATGCCACTACTGCTTTCTACCTGTCTAAATAAAATATTTATTTGTTTGAGAGAGAAAGATAGCAGGAGACAAGCTCCTTTATCTAAAAATAACCAACAACATATTTAATCATACATATCATTTGATGCCTTCAGTTAAGAGTGATATTTTCCAAAATAAATAAATAAATAAATAAATAAATAAATAAAGTGATATTTTCCAAGTTTCCTACATAAAAGAGTTATTCTGGAATTCGAAAAGAACAATGCTGGGTGGCCTGGGTGGCTCAGTGGTTTAGTGCAGCCTTCAGCCCAGGGACTGATCCTGGGGACTAGGGATCGGGTCCCATGTTGGGTTCCCTCTGCCTGTGTCTCTGCCACTCTCTCTGTTTCTCTGTCTCTCTGTCTCTCGTGAATAAATAAATAAAATCTTAAAAAATAGGGATCCCTGAGTGGCACAGCAGTTTAGCGCCTGCCTTTGGCCCAGGGTGCGATCCTGGAGACCCGGGATCGAATCCCACATCGGGCTCCCGGTGCATGGAGCCTGCTTCTCCCTCTGCCTGTGTCTCTGCCTCTCTCTCTCTCTCTGTGACTATAATAAATAAATAAATAAATAAATAAATAAATAAATAAATAAATAAATAAAATCTTAAAAAATAAACGAATAAATAAATAAAATTTTGGTCATGATTCATTTTGATATAATATGAACAAAGTACAGTATAATTAGTTAAAAATTTGGTATACAATGAGCAGTTGGTAGACTATGAGTACTTGTAATAATAACCCAACTTCCATCCAACAAGGAACATGGGGCAAGTTGGGAATTCTCACAACATGGAACCAAAGTCCACTATGGGCCTTGTTCCTAATATAATCCCAAAATAAAGGACACTATAACAAAACAGTCCTTGAGCATTCCACCTCTGGGTAGGAAGACTTTGGGTGAGATGATTCACAGTTGGCATGCTCACTTAGTTATATATCAAATGGCACTACTGCTTTCTACCTGTCTAAATGATGCTGTAATCTTTTTAATTCCTCTTTATCATCACAGATTTCATCTGTGCTCAGAGATCCTCTTGCTTGCACATGTCGATCTCAGAGATTAGGCCAGAGTTCAGAAGAACCTAGGGTCATCCTGGGCATAGTTTGTATTGTGTTTCATATAGATCTCTTTTGCTGGCTTCAACTTGAATTTAAAAAGGAGGCAGGGGCAGATACCATTCTAGACAGAAAAACCCTTTGCTTTGCCTTGTGATACGAAGTTTTGTCTAAAGAATATCTTTAAACATTAGACTGTCACGGTGACTTCATTGGTAGGTAGATTAAATAATTCAATGACTTCTGATTTCAAGAAAAGCCTGAAAAGAACTGCCCTTTTGGCAAAAAGGAAAAAACAAAAAACCTGGATAACTTCATATGCATATATTTTATTTTATTTTATTTTATTTTCATTCTTTCTTAGCCTTTTTTATATGCATATATTTTAATGTTCTGAAACTGCATATGATAAAATTAGTTCCCCTCAAAACATCTGATCATTAAAATTGTACAATTAAAGATACTTTGCTATCCTTTGTTAACTCTTCAAGCAAAAGCAGTCCTTGAAGTAAAAATTTATCACTGGAAAACTCTAAAAAAAATCATTTTTGCTTTATTACACAGGAAGTGGGCATTGATAAATAAATAACATTTTTTATGGTATAGTAAACGTCAGAAAGTGAGCTGGTCTCTTTCATTCTGATCACATAACATAAGTAACCTGCTGGCCCTATGAAGCCCTCCCCTTCCTTCTCATAAATTTTTAACTACTAGCCACACTATGAGAAGCCACATTATCTATGGCTCGAAAGTGTGATTTCTACTGGCATAATTCCTGTGGTTTAGAATTGGCTTGTGTGCTTTATACCCACAAAATATGTGAAATAAGAGCTATGGCAAAGCTCATAACCTTACAAAAGATCTACAATGACACTATTAATAGTTAACATTTATTATGTGCCAGATACTATCCTAAGTGCTTATATACTTAAATTCACTTGGACTTCAAAACAGCACAGTGAAAATAAAAAACCAGCACAACAACATGGGAGATTAGTATCTATTTTTCAGAACAGGCAACTGGGACACAAAGGAGTCTAGTAACTTACCTGATGACACACAGCTAAGAAGGGGTTATGTCAGAATTTGAACCCACATAGCCTAGCTCCAGATCCTCAATGTTTATCCACAATATTACTTCTACATTAAATTCGCCGTTCGCAAAAGCAAGTGCTAATTCAGGGCACCTGGGTGTCTCAGTCGGGTAGTGTCTACCTTGTGCTCAGGTTATGATCCCAGGGTCCTGGGATGGAGCCCCGCCTTGGGCTCCTTGCTCAGCAGGGAGCCTTCTCCTCCCTTTCCTTCTGCGGCTGCTCCTGCTTGTGCTCTCTCAAATAAGATTTTTTTAAAAGTAAATGCTAATTTATAAGCAAGATCATATTGTGTGTGCTATAAAAATCAGAAATAGGTAAGAATTATATCTGTAATCTTCAGTAATGCAGAAAGGACAGCATGGTATTAAAAGAATCCTTATCACTCTAAGGGTTTGCTCAAACTGCTATATACCCAGTGTATCCCATTATCCTATCCATTTCCTATGCCCATGATATTACCACATTAGATTAGATTTTATTCAAGCTGTGTTAAAGATAAAAGTCCATTTCATTATCTTCATACATTATATAGAGGTATTAGTTACACATAGCATGCAATTATAATGATTCTAATGATATGATCAGAAGAGATTTGTCAAGTTTATGTCAATATATCAGATCATGTAATTACCCCCCATTTTATTTGTGCAACAGAGCACTTGCAGTCATAAAGTTCTTCCATATATGTTCTTATTTAATCTCAAATGACTTCAAAAGACTTAATATGGTAAAAGAGAGCATTGACCTGGCCTTGCATGCAAAAATTTGACCTAATTACAAGATAGGGACTTTATAAGGAAATAAAAAGAAATTGACTTATGTTCACTGCAGCGTACTGTTTGCTTTTATGCCTTGTATTTGTTTTGTCTTTGGTCCTCTGACAATCTATATGTTTAATCAAACAGTGAAAAACAAGCACAGAATACGGTTGTTTTATCTTCCTGACTAGCAAGCCTGGACTCTATTCCAGTTCACTCCACTCTCTTGCACTGCCATCGACCCCTCCACCCACTGCCCCCACAAGGTATTCCTTTCCTCCAATAATGAACCGCCAAGAATGTGTGACCTAATCAGCCCAATTCTATCATGTGCAACTAATAATGATTTTGAGTAAGTCAACAGTACACTATTACCTTTTGCAACAACACCCAAAAATAAGTTATGGTTTTAAAATAAATGAGTGTAAGGAAGAGGGAAAGGACATGGGATATTTGGCATCATCTGTGCCACACAGGATGCCAACCCTCTATAAATGATAGAGAGAGCTTAAGTGAAATCTAATACCACCCCATTCACTATCTTCCATAATCAGTTGTTATGTCAAACTGTCTGCCTGGGGGTCAAACAAAATATAGCCCTTTACACAATTTCAAGATTATAGTTCTTCTTTTTTAAATTAAGATTTTATTTATTTATTTGACAGAGAGAGAGAGAGAGAGCAAGACCACGAGCACAAGCAGGGGAGTGGCGAAGGGAGAGGGAGAAGCAGGCTATGGAGCCGAACTCCAGGCTAGATCCCAGGACCCTGGATCATGACCTGAGCCGAAGGCAGACACTTGAGACTGAGCCACCCAGGCTCCCCATATAACTGTTTTCACTAAGAATAGACATACTCGGGATGCCTGGGTGGCTCAGAAGTTGAGCGTCTGCCTTTGGCCCAGGACGTGATCCCTGGATCCGGGATCGAGTCCCACATCAGGCTCCTTGCAGGGAGCCTGCTTCTCCCTTAGCCTATGTCTCTGCCTCTCTCTCTCTCTCTCTCATTGTGTCTTTCATAAATAAATAAATAAATAAATAAATAAATAAATAAATAAATAAATAAATAAATAAATAAATGGACATACTCATACACAAAGAACATCTAGACTAGAAAAAAGTACTAAGACACACGGTTATAATAAAAGGGAAATTAAGGTATAGTAGGGAATCAAAGGAAATCATATTCAACTAGGGAAGAAATAGATGGGCTTCTTGTTAAAAAAAAAAAAAAAAAGCATTTAATGGAGCCTCCAATGCAGGTAAGATATCAACATGGAGAGTTCTGGAATGAAGTACACACATTGTAGGCAAAAGGAAGAAGTATTTACAAGAACAAGAAGTTGGAGTGTTCAGATAACCTGTTGTGTGGGGATGTTCAGATCCCTGATTGTATCAAAGTCCTCTCCTGGCATGGCCTGTGAAGCCTGTCCTGTGCTCTTCACAGCTACCTGTCCAGCCTACTTCTTCATATACTTTCCTAGTCTCGAGCCTTGACCATTCCTCCAAAATATCATGCTTTATAGCTTCATGCATCCTCCTCCTCCAGAACAGCCTCTGCTGCCGGTTTATATCTGTGATGCTACTGATTCCACCCTGCTTCTCTCCTGAAAATCCTAACATCTTATAGAGCAATGTAGGTCAATTATTTCTTGATAAAACTGGGCGGGGTGGGGGGAGTGAAAAAAATATAACATTTTAGAACTAGAAAACACATAAAAGGTCATGTGGGACAATTAACTCTATTATTTCTCCCCCACTCTAATTTTCATTTCAAGGTTTCTGATCACCAGGAAATCTCCCTCTTGCATTTCTTCTGTCCCTGGAAAGTCTAAAATTCCTGACAGTACTGGTTACGTTCAGTAGCCAGAGGCAGCTGCCTTTGTTTCCAAATGAGGCCACTCCCGGCTTCTGGGTCACCCATACTTTCCATGAGATCAATCAAAAGGATCAGAAGGAACTAACTCTCACCCTCCTTTTTTTTTTTTTTTAAATTTTTATTTATTTATGATAGTCACACAGAATGAGAGAGAGAGAGAGGCAGAGACACAGGCAGAGGAAGAAGCAGGCTCCATGCACCGGGAGCCCGACGTGGGACTCGATCCCGGGTCTCCAAGATCGCGCCCTGGGCCAAAGGCAGGCGCCAAACCGCTGCGCCACCCAGGGATCCCAACTCTCACCCTCCTGATAGGAAACACCTGTTCTAACAAGCGTTCCAGTAAAATCTGTGGCAAGTCTGGATTTGTTAATTAGTCAAAAGTAAGCTGATCAAAGGATATCGCAGAGCAGTTTATTTTAGCTATTGTGTGTGTACAAATAATCTTGGAATCCTGTTAAAATGCAAGCCCTGGTTTAATAGGGTTGGGCTACGGCCTGAAACTCTGCATTTCTTTTTTTTTTCATGACCTGAGGCAAAACCAAGAGTAGGACACTTAATGAACTGAACCACCCAGGCACTGGGAGACTCTGCATTTCTAATAAGCTTCTGGGTTACATCAAAGCTACTGACCTATGAAACACACCTTGAGTAGCAACGTTGTAGAGAATATTGGAGAATATTGAAAAACATTCTCCAGTAGTAGAATCACAGACCATTCTGTTGGATTCTGTAAACAGTTATGTATCTTCCTACATGTCAGGCACTGGATATTAAAAAATAAAAACAAGAACGGCATGATTTCCCTCAGATTTTACAGTGTAGGAAAAAAATAATTTCCAGATTTGAAAATAATGTAAGTGCAGGGTGTTTCAGGTATATAGAGAAGAGTTTCTCAGCTCAAGGACACTGTGACAAACTCCTACGATAGGCAGAGAGGATCCCATGCCTAGGACAGACTGAGAAGGAATGAGCAGAAAAGATAGGAGAAGAACCAAGAGACAGAATATATATGGAGACCAAAGGAATAGTAAGAAATTTCCAGAAAAACTGAGTGGTTAGAGGAAATAGGTCTGGCATGGAGCTGTTTGCTCCAGTGCCTAGTGGTACTCAGCATAAAGACAGGATGTGAGTATATGTGACCCACTTGAAAGATCATGAGATCAAGCTCTATGATCTTACAAATGAGGAAACAGGCCTCAAAGCAAGATAATTTGTCCTGAGCCATATAATCCTGAGCTACAGGGTTAGATTTATTGATATCCAATCTGGGACTTTCAAGAAGAAAACCCCAACCATCAAAGTACAAACAAATGGGCAAGTAGTATGAAATCTCATTATGTAGAAGAAATCAGACCGACATCAATAACCAGAAAGAGATGTTAACATTTATGACATGCACTCTGTATTCTGAACACCCTGACAGGCACTTCCGCTTACATTATCTCGTCTTATCCCTGAACAGACCCCGACAAGTAGGTATTATTCCCATTTTTATGGAAGAGACATTTGAGACTCTAGGGACCTACGTGACAGAGTCACATGAGTAACCAATTGCAGAGTGCCTGGGAACTGAAGTTTAGTGGGGTTTCAAGAGTCATGGGCCATTATCACTGTGTGATCCTTCTCTGGCAAACAAAGTTACTCCATTATAAGAAGAGGCTAAGGGAACATTAATAACACATGTTTGTATTATAATTAGACATAAATCCAGAAAGGAAAGCAAATCACTCTGGAAATGAATTCGTCTACTTATAAATGTTCTGTTTATAGCATTTAGTACATGGTTAGATTTCACTGATTTTATGTCTTGCCAATTCAGTTTGAGGCTGACAGACGGGCTTTTATCATCACTCTCAACTCCTTTGGCACCGAACTGAGCAAAGATGACCGGGAGACCCTCTACCCGACCTGTGGCAAGCTCTATCCTGAAGGATTGCGCCTGTTGGCTCAAGCAGAAGACTTTGATCAGATGAGAAGAGTAGCAGACCATTATGGAGTACGTGACTAGACCAGGGGCCCTGAACATCTCACATTACTTCATCACATGGACTTTAGAAGTTCACACATCAAATTTACATGTCTTCTCTAAAACAGTTAGGTTTGTAAGGTAGAAAGCAATGTCATTCTAGAACTGTCTCTCTCTCTCTTTTTTTTTTTTTTTTTTTTTTGGAGATTCCTGCCAAGCAAGTACTTGTTTAAATCTCCAAGGAGCAGTCATCTGAGTATGTCTTTTGAAGTGCTTGATAAAGCAAGTTCCCCAAGGAACTGGTGCAGTGTTCTGGATATGTGAGCTCATGGCAAAGTTATATAAAATAGCCTGGCCCAGCAGTCTTTTCAAGTGCGCATTGGGTAAACCGGCTTAGGTACAGAATGTCTACTTGAAATACAAGAAAGAATATGAACATATTGGTTTCTACCATTCCCTTTAATCAGTGGCCAGAAATAAGGAACGGAAGGAGGGCTGCTGTGTCTTTCCTTATTCCACATCCAAATGCTCTCTGAAGAGCCTGCAGCTTCTCAGCTCATCCCCTGATTCCATTCCTCCTGATTTATGGTAACATATGCCTTCCAGGTAACTTTTTCAGAACTGAAGTAACACTCTTACCTTTTCTTATGGGTTTCTGAAGCTTTCGGGGAAAGAGAAATCAGAAATCTGCATAAACCTTTGCAGTAGCTCATGTCATCACAAGAGGCTATTTTTAGCATAATATTAAATTTTGAGCTTCTCAATTTCCACCTCTTCCATATTTGAAATTCCATATGAATTTTACCAACTGTCATTTCAAAGAGCCCATAAACCTATGCTGCTTAAGCCATGAGCATCCATTTATCCTCAGTAAGGTGCCCAAGTAGCCCTAAGAACCTAATGTAGAAATTAGCTCATACAATGTACATTGAGAGTAGAATTGCTTTTGCCTCTCGCCCTGTAAGCCTGAATAAGCTACTAGACTAGAAATCCATCCATACTCTTTTATCTGGATTTTTGGGTATTTTTTTTAGGAGACCAAGATCCTACAAAAAACATTCAGTCTTTTTGGACAAGGTTTTTTTAAAGAACAGACACATCATTTCTGTATTGCTAGGAAAATATCTTCATGTTTATAAGAAATGAGAATTTGTTTAAAAATAGTCTCTGTTTTTTAGGTATACAAGCCTTTGTTTGAGGCTGTGGGTGATGGCAATGGAGGAAAGACATTGGAGGATGTGTTTTATGAGCGTGAGGTATGATATACATGGAAATGCTATTAGCTTATATATGTTTTTTTCTCTTGCTCTAGGTTTTAGATGTTTTCTTACTTTGGGTTTTCTTTTGGGGGGCTTTTTTTTACAGTTGATCAGTTCCAGTGATTAAGCACAGAATTTGACAACCAAATGGGTATTAATATCTCTGCCTTGGAGGCCCAGGGTTCACATATGATGGCTTCCTGCTGAATTGTCCTACCCAGAAACCCATAGTACACATAGTGAAGCTCTGGAGAGAATGCAGCTATTCCATAGTTAACTGAAGAATCAGAACTAGGACATTCTCATGATCATATATTGACTATCTTCAAGGTGTATGCTCTATTAGGTGCCTCTCTTACTCTCTAATCCATCCCTTCCTCAAGAAGCCTTTGTCTACAATTATAATTTAGGAATACAATTATCACACTTAGGAATTATTTGTATGGAAATCCATCTGGAGCATCTAGACTATTCTCTTTCCTTAAAAAGCAGAAGAGTACTTATTCCATTTATAGTGAATTCCTGGGCTACCAAAGTATTCAACAAAAGGGCTTTTTTTTGAGGTGGATGGGGATACCAGATAAGGTATCTCAAATCTAGAGAATTTTTCTAATATATTCTATTCATTTCTCTAAACCACTGGCCCTTCCCCTTTAATTGATTGACAGAGAGCCCTGAAATCTATCCAAATTTTAGGGTAGGACTGACTCCGGAAAGCAGTTTGGGCCCCTTCCTGTAAGTCCTACTCTAAATATTTTCCAACAGCTCTCTACTGCCTGTCACAAAAAGAGTAAAAACAATGCAAGTTATTCCCATATATTAGGGATGTTTTTAAAATTCCACACTATTGCACAACTGCTTCAAAGAAGGCTGTTAAGAAAGCTGCTCTTGGCAGGAAAAATAAGTATCTGTTCCTGAAAGCAAGGACCTCCACTTCCTGAATATTTAGCTTGACGTTTTCAGAGCTGCATGAGGGACTCAGTACCTCTCATACTTTTTTCAAAATGGAAAAGAATTTTTCCATTGTTCAGACTTTACCCCAGTTGAATGATTTTTTTTTTTTAATTTTCTTTTACCGATATACCTTCTGCAGAAAAAAAACAATTCAACCATATGTCAAGTTGCTGTAGAGTATCCTAAGAAAGCTCAAAATGTCACTCATTCCAAATTCCAGAGGCCTGCGGCATTGCCCTGGAGGAGAGTTAGGCAGCCTACAAACTTTTTAGAATTTTCAAAGTTGTGGCCAAGAATGAATAGTCTACCTAAATGAGATGTGCCCACTAGCTAGAAACCAACTCTGTATATTAGTACAAAGTTCCGCACTTACATTCACATACAAACACCAAGATTTTCCCAGGAATCTTTTCACTAGCAGTGCTGAGAAGATTTGGATTTTGTCTTGTGATTCTATAAACCTCCTTTATTTTATTTCTTTATATTTTTATAAACTTACTTTTAAAACTACTATGGTCTATCTGTAGAATGTTCCCTTTATAACTTGATGAGTTGTCACCACTTTCTTTTATTTGACCAAATTTGGACATTGCCTGTTTAAATACAAATAATCACTATACAAGCGCAAGCCAGTCTGCAATTTAATATTATTTCAAAAATGTAGTATGTTACCAATAAGTGATAGTCAGTTTTGTTTTGTTTTGTTTTTTCCTTCCTTAGGTACAAATGAATGTGCTGGCATTCAACAGGCAATTCCACTATGGTGTGTTTTACGCATACACAAAGCTGAAGGAACAAGAAATGAGAAATATCGTGTGGATAGCAGAATGCATTTCACAAAGACATCGAACTAAAATTAACAGCTACATTCCAATTTTATAACTCAGTGTGGGGCCTCAAATATAGAAAATCTTCAATATGAAGAAGAGGTTCTGAGGAAAATAAAAAGAATTGTGTTACAATTATCTGTGTTACACAAAAATAATTCACACTACACCTTCACAAGTTGCAGACCCATTAGAAATATAGTAAACCAACAGACACAAAGTGTTTTTTTTTTCCAGTAGCCTTAAATTTTGTTTCCACATTTATGTCTTCCTCTTTACCAGACTTTAGACATTAATTCTAACTAACTGTATGGTACTTTTCCTATTCTTGTTTGGTTGTATTAACAATCAGATCTAATTAAAATGTTTTACTTTTGCTTTCCCATGCTTCTCCACAGGCCCAATAATGTCTGCTTTATTTTTCCTCACCTAGGTCCACAAAAACCCAGGATTGTATGAGGCTAGCATTGATCACATGTGATGAAAATACTGTATTTTTTCTTTTTTTTATTTTCAAGATTGATAATTATTATTATTTTTTTTTTTTTGAGAGAGAGAGAGTGTGGTCACATGCAAGTAGGGGGTGACGCAGAGGGAGAGAATCTTCAATCAAATTCCCAGCTGAGCATGGAGCCCAATATACGGCTCAATCCCGAGACACCTGAGCCACCCAGGCACCCCAAAATTGAAAGAATTTAAAGTATACAATGTGATGATTTGATATACATATATATTGTGAAAGAATTCCCCTCATCAAGTTAGTTATATATCCATCACTTCACGTAGTTGTCTTCCATCCCACCCCCCACCCCCCCACTCCCTGTGAGAATATTTAAGTTCTACTGTCTTGGTAAATTTCAGTTATACAATAATGTCATCAACTATAGTCACCATGTTATACATTAGATCCTCAAACCTTATTCATCTATAACTGAAAGCTTGTCCTCTTTTACTAACTCTTCCATATTTCCCCATCCCCCAGCCTCTGGCAACCATTTTTCTACTCACTATTTCTAGGAGTTAAATTTTTTACTTTTTTTAGATTCCACACATAAGTGAAAATTAAAAGGAAATGTAGAGCTAAGATTTTAATAATCTTTATGATTAGATTTTTTAATTCAATAATATTTTTCTTAAGATTTATGGAGACATGGAAGAGTAGATAATCATGACTCTTAGCTTTCAGTGTCCAGATCATGTGGTTGTACACAAGCTTCATCTTGTTGGTGTGGTGACAGTGATTGATATCGAATAAAATTTTCAAAGCCTCAAAGGCTTTTCAATAGAAAGATCAGAGGAAAGTTATGCAATATCCACACATGCAAATACATAAACATAAATCATATTTTAGAGAATTACTGTTTTGCAGATTAATTGTCCCTTGTGCTAGATATAACTGTGAAATATCAGGATTATCTGAGTCATAGAATTTAATATGAGATGCTAACAGTGGCTTTAATCATTCGAGTTCACATAACCCTTTAAGAATATGATGAGCACTATGGATACTTTCCCTGAGAATAATAGACATCTGCATATTCATCCAAAATTTTACATAGTTTTTGAAAAGACTATGGATCCTCTAAAATCCATTCATGTGCAACCTAGAAGTCCAAAGACTCCAGGTTAAAAAACTCCATTGCACAGGCCAAGGAATAAAAGAATACAACAGGTTAGAAAGTCATGGATGAGAAAGGATTTGATTTAAGAAATAAAATAGAAGGGGGCAGAAAAAGAAAAAAATAGAAGGGGGCAGCCTGGGTGGCTCAGCGGTTTAGCGCCACCTTCATCCCAGGGTGTGTTCCTGGAGACTCAGGATCGAGTCCCACGTCAGGCTCCTTGCATGGAGCCTGCTTCTCCCTCTGCCTGCGTCTCTGCCCCTCTCTCTCTCTCTCTCTCTCTCTCTCTCTGTGTGTGTGTGTGTGTGTGTCTATAAATAAATAAACAAAATCTTTAAAAAAAATAAAATAAAATACAAGTACTTGTATACCCTTCCATCTCTTGAAAGGGCATCCTGTTTGGCTGAGCAAGCATTTTCAGGGTGGAAGCACATGAGCTTTGGTAGAAAGGGCTCCTCACCTGGCCAGCAAGGTCAGTCATGTCAATGATGGAGATGACAGAGGGAGAGAGGTCACAATCAGTTTGCTGTCATACTAAATTGAAATTATGCTCCAAAGCATCCAACTCTACTTTTTGAAATGATGTCCATATTCATCCAATGCATTAACCAATGTTACTATTTTTTGCAAGAAGAGTGAATGAAAACTGCAGATTGGTTAAAAATAAATTCTGATCTATAAATACAGTCAACTAATCTTTGACAAAGAAGTAAAAGCAATACAATAGACCAAAGAGGGTTCCTTCAACAAATGGTGCTAGAACAACTGGGCATCCATTTGCAAAAAAAAAAAAAAAAAGACACTAGACATAGACCTTATACCTTTCACAAAAATAACCCAAATGGATTATGATTTAAATATATGACCTATGTAATAACCTAAATATAAAACATGAAACTATAAAGCTTCTAGAAGCTAAGAGAGGAGAAAACCTTTATGACCTTGGGTATGGTGATGCCTTTTTTGGTGTAACACGAAAAACACAATCCAGGAAAGAAATAATTGATAAGCTAGACTTTGTTAAAGTTAAAATATTCTGCTGGGGACAGCCCGGGTGGCTCAGCAGTTTAGCACTGCCTTTAGCCCAGGGTGTGATCCTGGAGACCTGGGATGGAGTCCTACGTCGGGCTCCCTGCACGGAGCCTGCTTCTCCCTCTGCCTGTGTCTCTCCTCTCTCTTTCTCTGTGTCTTTCATGAATAATAAATAAAATCTTTTAAAAATAAAATAAAATAAAATACTCTGCTGTGCAAAAGACAATATCAAGAGAATTGCAAGACAAGCTATAGACTAGGAGAAAATAGTTGCAAAAGACACATCTGGTAAAATATTGCTATCCAAAATATATTTAGAAAAAACTCTTAAAACTCAACAATAAGAAAGCAGACAACCTGATTAATGCATGAGCCAAAGACCTTTTACAGACCAGTTCAACAAAAAAGATATGCAGGTGGCAAAGAAACATGAAAAAATGTTCCATGTCATATGTCGTAGGGAAATAAAAATTAAAACAGCAATAAGATACTATTACACACCTATTAGAAGGTCCAAAGTCCAGAACATGGGCAACTCCCAAAGCTGGCAAGGGTATGAAGCAACAGGAACTCTCATTCATTGCTGGTAGGAATGTAAAATAGTACAGCTACTTTGGAAGACAGTTTAGTGATTTCCTAAAAAGCTAAACATACTCTTACCATATAATCTGGCAATCACACCTGTTTGTAAGTTCCAAAAGGAGTTGAAACTTATGTTCACACAAAAGCCTGCGCATAAATCCTTATGTCAGCTTTATCCATAATTGCCAAAATTTGGAAGATACTGAATGCCCTTTAGTAGATAAATGGATAAACAGTGGTAGACCCAAACAATGGAATATTATTTAGCTCTGAAAGTAAATGAGCTATCAAGCCATGAAAAGACACAGAGGGGAATGCCTGGGTGGTTCAGTGGTTGAGCATCTGCCTTTGGCTCAGGTCATGATCCCGAGGTCCAGGAATTGAGTCCTGCATTGGGCTCATCTCAGGGAGCCCGCTTCTCCCTCTGCCTATGTCTCTGCCTCTCCCTCTCTCTGTCTCTCACGAATAAATAAATAAAAGCTTAAAAAAAGAAAAGACACAGAGAAACCCTTAATGCATCTGAAACCCTACATATTGTCTGATTTCAACTATATTACATTTTGAAAAAAACAAAACTATGGAGACAAGAAAAAATTAGTGGTTACCAGGGGTGGAGAGGAGTGAGGGAGGAGATGAAGAGGCAAAACAGGATTTTCAAGGCAGTAGAAATACTCTATATGTTATAGTAACAGATATATGCCATTATGCATTTGTCTATACACCGGTCATATACAACACCAAGAATGAATTTTAAGGTAAACTATGGATGTTGGGGGATTATGATGTGTTAGTTTAGGTTCACCCTAGATTAAAAAGGAAAAAAAAATGTACCACTTTGGAGAGTGATGTTGATGATGGGGGAGGCCATCTATGCATGAATGGGAGCAGGGAGTAAGTTAGAAATCTCTGTGCCTCCCTCTCAATTTTATTGTAAACCTAAAACTACTCTAAAAAAAAAATCTTAAAGAAATAAATTCTGGGCAGCCTGGGTGGCTCAGCCGTTTAGTGCCACTTTCAGCCCAGGGCCTGATCCTGGAGTCCCAGGATCGAGCCCCGCGTTGGGCTCCCTGCATGGAGCCTGCCTCTCTCTGCCTCTCTCTCTCTCTCTCTGTGTCTCTCATGAATAAATAAATATTAATTAATTAATTAATTAATTGATTAATTCTGACCAGCTGATATTTCCTGAAGTTTTATCTTCAGGATTGAATGATCAAATGGGAAAAATTACTTTTAAGCCTTCATCTTTGGTGAAATAGAAGAAAACTGTACTCTCACATTTCTTCATGGCACCTAGAAATGACTCATTTCTATTTTCTTGGTCACCTTTTATCGCTTAAAGCCAAATAAAAGTAAGTCAAGTGGAATAGTAACGAGTGGGCAGGACAGATGCATAGCCTCCTTGGTAAATATTATAAATCCGGGAAGTGCAGGTGGAAATTTAAATTGGTGTATTTCCTGGAAGGAATTATATATCTTTATGTTCAGGAAGTAGCCTGTGCTATCCTGCACTGAGGAGGCCATTTTCAGGCAAGACTTTGGAGAGAGATGGGTTGTATTTAAATCAAAAACATCTGGGCATGGGCTAACCCCCTCCTGAGCCACATGGAAGGCATAAATTGACTTAAGACTGGAGTAATTGTAAAATATGGGAGGGCAGTAACAAGGAGAAAAGGGATGCCTGTAAAAATAAAGCAAACGTCAGCACTTAATTCAGAGAAAATGACTTCTTTCAAAATTAGCTCTCTGTAGAAGCCACGAGAATAGACTCCTCTGAGACATAACTTACCCGAAGAAAAATAAGTAAAAGTAAATGTCATGAATGTTGAATGAGGAGCGTATTCTTTTTAAGTCAAATTAGTGCTTTCACCTTTTTCCTCCCTTAGTCCTTTTAGGTTTTCCCTGCATATCTTCCCAGGAGGATATAACCATTATAAGCACTAAATTAATTAGGAAAGAATAGGCTCAGAACAAGAAAATACATGCTGATTTCAAATTATAACTCCTAGGTACTATGGAAACAACAGGGTTTACTTCTCGGAGACCAAGTTTAGGCAATTTGACATCTTTTGTTGAGCATCCAAAGGACATACCCTAATAGCTACTTAAGCGCTCTGCATACAGCTTATGGAGGCTTATCTCAAAATCAGCAAGTGGTTAATAGGAAGTGACCCCCTGCCTCTGGCATCCTATGAATGCGGTTGCAGGTAAAAAGGAAACGCTCCCTTTTTATTAAATAGACATTATAAAAGAGGCTGCTTATTGTATAAAGCTGATGCAAACTGAGGGTCTTTCTTTTCAGGCTTGTGAAGTACTAACATCCCTGTTAGACGGTTTTAGAGACCTCTGATACTATACCCTATGTAAACCCAAAGCAAGAATTTAAGAAAAGAGATTTTTGAACAGTCACTAAGTAAAGTAGTAACAACAGGGACTTATAAGTCACCTATATTTTTTAGACCATCCATACATCCACCAGTATGTCAAAGCACACAGCTGTGTCTCGCATGAGTGATGGGGTAAAGATGCTGATCCGGTAGCCTTGGGGTACCCATGGTCTCCAGTCTCCGCTGACCCTCAGCAGTCTTTCCTGCTTGCTGCCAGATGCCAAACAAATGCTATCATTTTATGTGTACATAATGATATGGAAAGAAACCAAGTAAGATAACAGATGAGTATCCTATGCTTCCTCCAACAAGATAGAAGCAAGACTAGCAGAGTCCATTTTTATATTTTTATGATACCGTTTATGGACCTGAGAACCCTGGTCAGCACAATTTGATATCTGTGTTCCCAAGAGATTAGCATTCCCCACGTTCTCTACGGCTGAGTCTTTGTTTTACAACACAAATTCAAAGTACCATTAAAGAATTGACATATATGGGGCACTAGATGGGATGAGCACTGGGTGTTATTCTATATGTTGGCAAATTGAACACCAATAAAAAATAAATTTATAAAAAAAAAGAATTGACATATATGTACCTATGATGCACTGATTTTTTTACAGTAAGTTTCTCTACTTTAATGGTCATTTCTTGATCTGTCCAAGTTAGTATATTAGGCTGAATATTCTTTTGTTTCCTTATTCAATATAGCCATCTAAGAAATACGTTTTTATTTCTTACCTATCAAAGCGTTTCATGTAAACTTTTGCAATTGTAATATTTATTATTCTACCAATATTTGAGAAATCAGGAAGAATTATGAAAATTATTGTTAATTTACTTTTATAAACTAAGATTTGCACAATTAATCGTAGACAATGAGGTTTATCTGAGGTGCGATTATTGCTAATTGAAAACTTTACTTTTATAAACTATTAGAATGGTAGAAACACCACCTACTTTAATTGTTTAATATGTACCTGAGTATTCACTTTTATAAATTAGTAAAATAGTAGAAACACTATCTACTTTAGTTAATCATTTAATATGTGCCTGAAGATCCACTGTGCTTTATTTAATCCTTTAATATGTACCAGGCCTTAACACACTCAGTGTAATTTAAGACTTCCAGTTGGAAATAATTTTGCCATTGTTCAATGCTGAGGGCCAAATGCATAAAATTATTTGGAATGCTAGTTATCAAAGCTTTGATTTATTAAAGTTTTAAACTTAAAATGTTAACAATGAAGTTATTTTTTTTTACAATTAAGTTATATAATGACACCTTAATCTCCTTCATCCATCATTTACAACCCTTTAGAGAGAGAGAGAAAGAGAGAGAGAGAACAAGCAGGGGGAGCAGCAGAGGGAGAAGGAGAAGCAAGCTCCTCGCCAATATGGGGCTCCATCCCAGAACTTTGGGATCATGACCTGAGCTAAAAGCAGATACTTAACTGACTGAGCCTCCCAGCAAACTTGACTATGGCCAATTAGGCCCAGATTGGTCAGGTCTTTGTTGCTTTTCCATTCCCTTCATTGACTTCTTTCTACCTATCTATTACACTCTCACTGGCCTTCTTTCAGATTTCCAATATCCTGAATTTTTTCCCATTTGGGAGCCATCATACATGTTCTTCTCTCTACAGGAAAACTTTTTTTTTTTTTTTTTACAGGAAAACTTTTTCACTGTATGTTCACATGGAGGGCCTCTTTCCTTCAGGTTTTATTTATTTATTTATTTATTTATTTATTTATTTATTTTTATTTTATTTATTTATTTATTCATGAGAGATAGAGAAGAGAGAGGCAGAGACACAGGCAGAGGGGAGAAACAGGCTCCATGCAGGGAACCTGACGTAAGACTTGATCCTGGAACTCCAGGATCAGGCCCTGGGCCGAAGGTAGGTGCCAAACCACTGAGCCACCTAGGGATCCCCCATTCAGGTTTTAATGTCACCATGTTGCCCAACTCTGATGGGCACATTTCATAACTCTGGAATTGTGCAAACCACCAGAGTACAATAATAATGCATATTCACCTCCTCAAAGAGGTCCTCCAGTCTTAAGGAGATATCTCACATTGGTCTCTTCACCTCATAATTCTTCCTCTCCCGCCTCTTTTCACCTCACAATTTGTAACCATAAATTTATTTTTTAAAATATTTTGTTTATGCGTGAGAGACACGGAGAAAGAGACAGACATAGGCAGAGGGAGAAGCAGGACTCGATCCCGAGACCCTGGGATCACAACCAGAGCCAAAGGCAGACGCTCAACCACTGAGCCACCCAGGTGTGCCCATAAATGTATTTATATGTTTGTCTTGTAATGTCAGTCTTCCTCATCCAACTATGTTCTATGAGACTAGGAAATATATCTTTTTAATCACTGCTGTATACTTAGTATTTGGCATAGAGACTGGCATAGGGCAGCATTTAATATATATTTGTTTAATAAATGAATGAGCAAATTCCTCTACCTGTAAAATTCTATAAGTCAAATCACAGAACTACTAAAAGAACCATATTACAAATTTTAAGACTTTATTTGATCAAAAATCTATCCAATTGGGCAGGTCCACACGGGAAGTAGGTAGAAGGGCTCCAGCGAAGGGAATGAGGAGAAAGGCTTACAGACGCAATGCTGAGGCAAGGTGAGGAAATCACTCATTGACTATAGCTTAAGCATTTGCCTTATTTGGAAAAGCCTATCGGCTATTTGTTTTTTTTTTTTTAATAAATTTATTTTTTATTGGTGTTCAATTTGCCAACATATAGAATAACACCCAGTGCTCATCCCATCAAGTGCCCCCCTCAGTGCCCATCACCCAGTCACCCCCATCCCCCGCCCACCTCCCTTTCCACCACCCCTAGTTCGTTTCCCAGTTAGGAGTCTCTCATGTTCTGTCTCCCTTTCTGATATTTCCCACTTATTTTTGCTCCTTTCCCCTTTATTCCCCTCTCACTAATTTTTATATTCCCCAAATGAATGAGACCATATAATGTTTGTCCTTCTCCGATTGACTTACTTCACTCAGCATAATACCCTCCAGGTCCATCCACCTCAAAGCAAATGATGGGTATTTGTCGTTTCTAATGGCTGAGGAATATTCCATTGTATACATAGACCACATCTTCTTTATCCATTTGTGACTTGTCCTTAGGTTTTGATTTCTTAACCTTGAGTCATTTACGGGCCTAGGTTTTGCTTTGCTTACTTAGATCCTGGAACCACCTCAGTCTACCGGCCTCCTTGTTTAATAAATCTAACAGAGGGAAAGACCAAAACATAACTAGGCTAGGGGACCCATAAATTGCCTTTGGGCACAGATATTTCCAGTACCCAGGAAGACAGGAAAAGCAAAACAACTAGACTGCGAGATTGCCACAGTCTCACTCCATGGAGATACAGAAGAAACACGCTGAAAGGTAGAGACCCTGGGGCCCCTGCACATGCATCTGGAGCATACTGCAATACTCAGCCCACACGAGGCGCACCCCACGGATCTGCAATGAATGAATGAATGAGTAAACCCATATGTGAGGGAAGTATTGCATCAGTACCCACATCTGACCCTTGCAGCAAAAGGGAAACCGTGACGTGGGATCTGCATCAAGCACAGCATTTGCTGAGGCAGTGGAGCAGCCAAATTACCACTCCTGCCTGTGCTCACATCTGGCAGGAGTGCTCACAGTCAGAAGCCAAGCCAATTTGATCACAGGAACATACTTTGGCCAAGAACTCCTTAACCAAATGGAGCCTACTTCCCGTGGTCTACAAACACAGGTGTTTACAAAGGACAAACCCAAAGGACAGGGAAATTCACTAAAATGGCTTCACGGTGTTCTCTGAACACCAGGATAAACTCGGGTAATGATTCCCAATCCAATCTGCCTCCCTGCTCAAACACTTAACATCTACCCCGAAATTTATAGGACTCTGAGAATGTATAAAGAATTCGTTAGGTCCCCTGTTCTGAAGTGTATCAAAAGAAAAAAAATTCGACTGAATTATCAAGTGGGATTTACTCTGCATGGCACTGTTTGTCTATTCAACTAATTATGTTACCTCTCTCCTTCAAAGGGTTCATGTAGGTAAAAGCAGAAGTACGGAATATTCCATGCTGGTGATGAAAATCAGTATATTAAGTAAAAGGTAAAATGGTACTTAGAAAAGGAGAGAGAAACTATTTCAAACAACTGCAAATGGCATGTAAGGTTAATTGCAAAGTCTCCAACGTTGCTGAAACCAGTGTCTGCCTGTCTAGCAGGCACCGAGCCACACCCCATTCATCGTACCAAGACCAGAAAGGCACTTAGAGAGGCACTCGACTTTCAACTAAGAGGGATAGCAGAGATTTTCTGAAATAATTGTTCTGGAGGTTTCACATTTATTACATACTCTTAGTATGGTCTCTTGATAGCAGGCAGCAGTTAGATATCTGTTCAAAACAAACAATTTTCTTTACTTAAATGTGGAACCCTTAGGGGGGAGTGGAGAGTTATTCCACACTAGACTCCTTCGGGTGTAGGTGAAGATGAAGTATACCATTGCCCAAACACAGACTAAAAACCATATAAATGCATGGAGTCTTAGGAAACCTCTATAGTTCTACAACTCTTTTTTGAGGTGAAGAGTGCTAAAAATGCACTCACTCTGGATGAACATTGTATTTCTTCAATGACATCTGCTCTTCCTAGGCACTTAAACAATAAGTCTAATCTGCTGAATGTTTCTCAATTGCATCCATTCCAAAAGAAAAAAGCTTCAAAGTACCACTCCCCTAGTTAACCACTTCAATAGTCTTAATACTTTAATTTACTTAAATTTAGGAAGATGTGAAGCATTAGACCTCGGTGCAGGAAAGCAATCAAAGACATTTGGACATACTGGTCATGATTTTGCTGTTTTTCTAACCTTCTGTCATAAGTCCTTTCTCCAGAACTTACACACAGTTGGGGAGAAATATTTTGAGACAAGTCTACCTCAAACACTATTATTTGCTTTGATAGTTTGGGGGAATGGGGAGTTAAAAAAAATCAAAGTGTAAAATGGTTTCAGAGGAGAGCTTCATTTTCCATAGTCATCCTTCAGAATAATGATCCACCCCTCAAAACAGATTGCCTTTACTCTGCTAGGCGGAACTCAGGAGATGAAGGCCTCAAAAATTAATATTTCAAATATTGTCAGGCATCAAACAAACACACTTTGACTCTAAAAAATTAATTGCTTAGAGCAATTAGAGAAAAGCCTTGAGGAGTGTATGAGTCAGAGGAATTTGGATCTATCTTCCCTAACTTCCAGAACATTGTGGCCGTCGGCAAGTTAACTGAACTTCTAAGACTCAGTTTCCCCATCTGTGAAAGTGAAATAATTATATCTTCTTTTAGGATTCCTATAGGACTTAGATAAAATAATTTATTTAATGCTTAGTACACAGCCAGGCACAAAGCAGGAGCTCAATAATTGTTCTACTCATACTTCCTTAGACAGACTTGCACTAGATTGACTTGGGCACTTGCCTATCCCAGTCACTCGACTGAAAACACCTGGGAAGTGAAGATCATCTCTTTGTGTTCCTATTAGTTCACAATACAGTGTTTGCTTAAAATAAATTATACGTGCTTTTAATTATTTTTAAAGAGTTTATTTTTTTATTTATTATTTATTTATTTATTTATTTGAGAGAGAGAGAGCATGGGTGGAGAGAGGGGCAGAGGAAGAAACAGACTCCCCATGGAGCCAGGACCCCAATGCAAGGCCCGATCCCAGAACCCTAGAATCATGACATGAACCAAGGGCAGCTGCTTAACCCACTGAGCCTCCCAGGCACCCCCTCATACATGCTTTTTAGATAAAGTCAACATTTGCTTGATGTTGACAGATATAGACATATGACTAAAATAATTTTACTTTATTCTCAGATTACAGTTGGCTAAATATTAATTAATTAAAATAAACGAGAGCCCCTGCCTCCCATATCAACTTGC